TTGTGGGGGCCATGGCCCGGCCACTGTCACGAGCTGTGTCTCCCCCCCCGCCCCCTCCCCCAGGTGATGCGGATGACTCTGAATACCATGACCTGGCGCCGGAGGGAGATGGTGCGCTGGCTGGTGAGCTGTGCCACGGAGATCGGTGAGTGGGGGAGCTGGGGGGGGCATTGGCGCCCTCCCCCCCCTGTAGTGATACCCCATGAATGGCCCTTGGCCCAGCTGACCCCCCCATCCCCTCTAACACAGCACCAGGAGCACCTGGTGCATAGCATGGGTCTACCAACCCAGCATAGCTGGGAGCCAGGACGCCTGGGTTCTCGTCCCAGCCCTGGGAGGGGAGTGGGGTCTAGTGGTGAGAGTAGGGGACGGGTAGGGCTCCCGGACTCCTGGGTTCTCGTCCCAGGTGGAGTTGGGCAAGATGCTGTCTCTTTGGATGGGGAGATCCCTGCCTGCTGTGGGGGTTCGCAGGCTGGGCGGGCGGGTGGAGACCCATGAGCCGCACTGACCCCTCCCCTCCCCTCCCCTCCCCGCAGGAGTGCAGGCGCTGATGAACATCATGCAGAACTGGTACAGCCTCTTCACCCCCATCGAAGCCACCACCATCGTGGCCGTGACAGGCACCACCCCGGCTACCCTGCTGCGTCTCAACCTGGCCTTCGGGCAGCGGGACGAGCTGTGTGCCCGGGCCCGGGCCGTGGCCCTGCAGTGCGCCATGAAGGACCCGCAGAACTGCTCGCTGCCGGCCCTGACCCTGTGCGAGAAGGACCACGCCGCCTTCGAGGCCGCCTACCAGATCGTGCTGGACTCGGCTGCCGCGGCCGGCATGGGCCACTCCCACCTCTTCACCGTGGCCCGGTACATGGAGCACCGGGGGCTGCCCCTCCGCGCCTACAAACTAGCCACCCTGGCCTTCTCCCACCTCAGCATCGCCTTCAACCAGGACACGCACCCGGCCGTCAACGACGTGCTCTGGGCCTGCTCGCTCAGCCACTCCCTGGGCAAGAGCCAGCTCTCGGCCATCGTGCCCCTCATCATCCAGAGTGTGCAGTGCGCCCCCATGCTCTCCGACATCCTGCGCCGCTGGAGCCTGCCCCCGCCGGGCCTAGCCGCCCTCTCCGGCCGCCGCCACGCCGCCAAGCCCCCTGCCGCCCCCGGCCTGGACAAAGCCCCCCTGTGCCAACTGCTGGAGGCGGCCATCGCCGCCTACGTCAGCACCACCCACTCGCGCCTCACCCACATCAGCCCCCGGCACTACAGCGAGTTCATCGAGTTCCTCTGCAAGGCCCGCGAGACCTTCCTGCTGGCCCCCGACGGCCACCTGCAGTTCGGCCAGTTCCTCGACAACCTCAAACAGACCTACAAGGGCAAGAAGAAACTCATGCTCCTGGTGCGGGAGCGATTTGGCTAGGGGGGGGGCCACGGCCTGATCCTCTTCCCTCCCCCCTTAGGGTCTATGGATTCAGCTGGGGAACCCCCACATCACTGCCCCCTGAGGGTGGGTTGGTTTGACGGGGGGCCTCCTCTGACTGGGGGTCCCTGGGCTAGGATTTGGTCAATGGGGGAGGCCTCTGTACCCTTTTGAAGGACCCCCTTTCTCTCCAGTGTTTAATTTATAGTTGGGGGGCGGACTCATGGTGGGGTTGTAGGAGTCACAGATTTCAGTGTTACGGCAGGACGGCTGCCGCTACCGGCTGTCTGCCTTGAAGGAGCCGAGCCCGGGGGTCGGAGCTGGGCAGAAGCAGGTGGCGGTGGGGCCAGCCTGGGTTTGATGGGGTGGCTGGGGCCCCAATCCTAGGGCAGCAGGGGCCCGGGCTTGGCGGCAGCTGTGAGCTGGTGTGATTTTTAGCCAGCACCTTGGGGGCACTGCTGGTTTCCTGCTGCTCTTCAGTGAGGGGGGGGATCCGTAATTCTTGGAAAGAAGCCGTCTCCACCCCAGCTCTCCCAGAGTCAGTACCATTTTTGCCCATAACTTCCCTCTTGGGAATTTGAACCTGTGACAGCAGAAGCCCTGACCTGTCCTACCTCTTCCCCCCAGCCGTGAAGTGGGGGGAAGCAGGGCGTGGGCCCCATGCTCCGGCTCCTCCATCCCCCTGTGCCAATACCTGAGTTGTTTTCCCTGCTGGCATCTTGCAACGGCGAGGAGCCGAAGACTTAACCCCTGGGAGGGGCCTGGCCAGGCCCTCGGCTCCTTTAGCCCTACCCAGCCCCAGCCTTTCGAAGGGCTAAAGGACCCCTTCTGAGGCAGCTCCGGTCGCTGGCAGCTGCTGGCGAAGGCTGGAAGCCAGAGGGGACCTGGGTCTTTCTGCAGTGCCCATCCCCCTGGTCTCTGAGGGCTCTGCAGCGAGAAGGGCGTCGGACCAGCCGTCGTTCAGATCTGGGAGAGGCCAAGCTCCAGGGCTCGTTTGCCCTTAGTTCTAGCCTGACCGTTCCCGCGCTACCTCCCAAAAACATTGTTATGGAAATTTCCAGGAACGGGTGGCTCTGGCCCTGGTCCCTGTGCCCGGCACCTGCAACCTCCGACCTCTGGGGCTGCCTCTCTCCCAGCACGGGGCAGCCGGGCGAGGGGGACAAGCGCCTGCCTGCCCGTCTGGTGCTCCCAGCCCCAAGCTGCCGGCCTGGTGGATTTCCTGCGGTTCTTTTCCAGCTGGTGGGGGTTCTTTCCAGGTGACTATTTAGGGACCAACCCCCCCTTATCTGGTCCTCTCTTACCCCCTCTTACCCCCACCCCCAGTATTTCTGCTCTAACCCCGGGGGGGAGGGAAGATGTAGATGAATCCAGGACCCAGTTGGGGGGGGCGGGCGCTACATCGATCCCAGCAAAGAAGGGGGGGGCCCTGATCCAGCCTGTATTGCACCCCGGCAGGGCTGGGGATGTGATCTGTTCTGCAGACACCCCCAAGTGAAGGATTCCTAATCTGGTCTCTCCCAGCGCAAGGCTCAGGGGGGCGGAAAGCTTTCCTGGTTCGTAGCAGTGCTCGTTTCATACCTCAATCCTCCCCCTGCTTCAGGCCAGAGCAAGACTAGGAGACTGGAGGGTTTTTGGTTTTTTTCTACCCTGGGGGTGGGTGGGGGGGTAATTTCTCAGTCTCCGCCAGAGGGTGCCCTCCCCCCTCTCCAAAACTCCATTTTCCTCTGGCTAAATTCTACTCAGGAAAGACGCCCGGGCACGTTACAAACTCGATTATTGTGAAGATGAGATAATCTAAAAGAGATTAATATATATGAAGAGAGGGTCTGAGATGACCTGGGGGGAGGGGGGGGCTGTTTGATTTTGATGCTCCATGTCCCTTGAGAGCCGAGGAGGGGCAGACGATATTCTTCTATATTGCACAGCTCGGGTGAGGAGCCCTCCACACCTGGTTTGTTCCTTACCGGTCATTGTTGGTTTGTTTGTTGGTTTGTTTGTTTCCCTGCCTATATTACAAAAAACAACAAAAAAATCATGTAATTTTGTAATTTTTTTCTATTTATTGAATTGTTTATTGTATTGTATTTTTTGTAAAAGTTTTAACATTAAAAACACGACTTTTTTGGTTTCTTCTTGGTGCCAGCGGTGGGGGCGGTTGAGTCTTTTCACGCTGGAGGATGGGAATTGAGAAGAAGGGTTTTCTCTGGCGGAGGGGGACAAATGTGGAACAGCCTCTGCTGGGAGCAGCGGGGGCCAGGCTGCGCTTAGCCAAGGGGGCTGGTTACGCCCATGGCCGCCTGGCACCGGGACAAGGCCGTGCACACTAGGCCTGGCCCCGCTGCAGGGATCATTGGGCGGGGGAGTGCCGGCCTCCATATGAGGTGGGGGTGGTGAAGGAAACGGGGGGGCAAATTCAAAACTGATCAAAGGAAACACATTTTTCACCAATGTAGCATTAGCCTACGGCACCTGCTGCCACTTGAGCCGGGCATTGCCCTGACCCAGGCTGCGCTGGGGGGGAGCATTGTGCTGGGGGGGGGGGTCACTAACAGGCGTGGTGCTAAAAAACTTAATTACCTGCCCCCGGGAGCACTGGACGAGGAAGCGACGTGACCAGGCAGAGCTGAGGATTAAGAACTAGGGTGTCGGAGACCCAATGACCTTCCCCCAGGACCATGCTTTGGGTGGAGGAGGTGGTCAGGACTCCTGGGTTCTATGCCGGGGGGGGCTGAGAGTCAAGACTCCTGGGGTCTATCCCCAGCTCTGGGAGGGAAGTGGGGGTGGGGTTAGATCGGGGGTAGGAGAGTGGGAGTCAGGGTGCCTGGGTTCTATGCCCAGCTGTGGGGGGTAGTGGTTAGATTGGGGTAGGGTGACCAGATGTCCCGATTTTATAGGGACAGTCCCAATTTTTGGGTCTTTTTCTTATATAGGCTCCTATTACCCCCACCCCATCCCGATTTTTCACATTTGCTGTCTGGTCACCCTAGATTGGGGGGTGGGGGGTCAGGACGCCTGGGTTCTGTGCCCAGCTGTGGGAGGACAGTGGGGGGGTTAGATGGGGGGTGGGGTCAGGACGCCGGGGTTCTCTATGCCGGCCTGTGTAGCCTCCTGTGAGCCTGGCCGTGGCCGCCTCTGCCCAGCCCCGCTGCCGCCTGCGGCTCGTTCCCCGCGTGCCCCGCTAGGGGGCGCCCGCCGCCCACCGACCAGCCCGCGGGCGCCCGGCAGCGCCCAGCCCCGTGAGCTACGTGCGGCGGCGGCCGGGCTTCGCTCCGGGGCTGTTCTCGGAGCCTGCCCCGCCGGCCCCCTACGGGCTGGGAGCCGGGACTCTGCCCTTCCCACCCCATCCGGGCCCCGTGCCTCAGTTTCCCCTTCCGGCCCCCGTGCGGCCGCTGCCGAGCCGGGGACGGGGCCAGAAACGCCACGAGGCGGCAGAAGGGTCACGTGACCGATTCCTGTGGCCGCATCACGGGGAGAAGCGTAACCCAGCGCGGCCGGCCCGTAATTACCGGGGGCCTGGGCTGTGGGCGGCGCAGCGCCCAGGGCAGGGGGAGTGAGTCAGTGGGGGGAGGGGAGTGTGGGGTGCCTGCGTGTGGCTGTGGGTGACCTCGAGCAACTCACGTCCTCATGCGCACGCATGCGCTGTGCCTCAGTTTCCCCTTCCGGCCCACGTGCGGCCGCTGCCGAGCCGGGGACGGGGCCAGAAACGCCACGAGGCGGCAGAAGGGTCACGTGACCC